AGTGTCCCTGCGTGTCTGTATGCCCCCCCTCCTCCCCAAAACCCTGCTGTCCCAGTATTGGGGGGGTCCTACCTGGCTGGGCATGGTGGGGGGGGGCGGCCAGAAGTAGGGGTTGTTGAAGCGAGGCTCCGCCATCCTGTGGGGAGAGAAAGAAGGGGGGCAGGTCATGGAGTGTCACCAGCTGCCACATGGACCCCCCATCCCACCTCGGCCCCCCCAAATAAAGCAACACTCAGGCAGGGAACAGGCAGGGAGCAGGCAGGGCTGGGGAACCTCCCAAGCATCTTCCTAGCTGGAAATTCCTGCAGGATCAGAGCAATGCCAAGCACCCCCAAGACACCAAAATGCCAGTGAGCCCCCCGAGATGCCACTTGGCAATGCAAGGGGAGGAATCTGGGGAACCCCAACACAGATCTCCTAAGGCCTGAAAGGATCCCTGCCACTCCTCCAGTATCTCCAGCAGGGATAACAGAGGAGGATGGGATGTTGCTGTGGGAGCAAGGGTGAGCACGACAGCGGCACCTCCAACCCAACCCCGGCTGAGTCCCTCTCCCCCAAAAAAAGCTTTCTCCCAAAAAACAAGCCCCCTTCTCTCAGAAACCCACCCCCCAATGCCAAGCAACATGACCCAGGACATCAGCAGGCAAAAAAAAAAGCAGGAAAATCCAGCTGCAGTGGAGCCAGGAGATGTACAGGGAGGCTTGAACGCATTGGGAAAATTAATTTTAAATCCATCTTTGGGTGATGAGAAACATCTAAGAGACGGTGAGAAAACGTCGCCAGCAGAACAGCCCAGAACGGGCAAACCAGGTTCCGAGGGGGTTCCAGGACAAGGGATCTTGGCAGGAGAGATCCCTGAGGAGCTCCCTGGTAATGTAAACCAGGCCATGGCCAGGATCCTGGGAAAACTAGACCGGTGCCTTCAGCGAAGCGCGTCCCCAAAAGCCTTGGAGGTGGTGGGATTCCCCGGAGCACTGGTGGCTGGGGAAACTGAGGCACAGAGAGCCCCAGGTCACAGCAGCACAGACTGGGATGTGGTCTGTCATACTCCAATGCCATTTGGAGCTTCCCTGCTCCCAGAAAGCAAACAGCCTGGGGCAGGGAGGGGATGGGGAGCCTTCCTCCCCCTCCTCCTCCTTGCATTCACCTGCTCAGTTCCAGCTGGACCCTGAGCTCTCTGGTGCTGCTGGGCAGCAGCACCCAGCAAAGGGGGGTCCCACTGGGAATTCAGCACCCATACAGCCACCCTGGTCTGAAAAAGAGCCCACCAGGCTCATTTTCAGGGGGTAAACTGAGGCAGGGAAGAGGCAACCACCCTACCCCCACGATACGCCGGAGAGCAGCACAGGACAAGGTGCATTTTGGGGAGGTTTTGGTGCGTTTCAGAGGCAGCGTCGAGGAGCAGGAGCCATTTCGTGCAGCGGACACAACCAGACCAGCAACTCCCCTCCCTTCCCTGCCTGGAACCACACCGTGTCACCTCCCACCTGCCCAGGCACCAAATTTTGGCTTTTCCAACCTGGATCCTCACCACGTCCCCAGGCACAACTGGTTTTGCCCTCCTCGTTTTCTCTCCACCCCTCTAATTGCCGGGGTGATTAACTGCGCTTCCCCACGGGCACCGGCTGGTTCCTGCACACTCTGTCTGTACCCACACGCCGCCCACGCTCCCAGTTTACCCACTGGCTACATTTATATATTTCAGATGCCTCGGGATGATGTGCACGGGACTGGGGACTCCAAGGCTGAAGGGGAACACACGTGGGGCCGGCGCAGCGGGAGATGGGGATGAAAGAGGAGGTGGTGGCAGGGAACAGCCCTGGTGACAGAGACAGGCAGGAGAATGGGCAGTAAGCAGGCAGGGGGAGTCTGGGTCCCCCCCTGCCACATCCAAGCACCCCAGCATGAATCCCACCAGCTCAGCCAGCGTGGGAAAACAGGAAGTTGGAGTTATGATGAGAAAAGGGATTTTTGGAGCTGCTCTCCCGTCACAGCAGGTGCCCCGCGACCTCCGTCCTTCCTGTCCATCCATCCATCCATCCATTCATCCATCCGTCCTTCTCCCTGTCCCAACAACGTGCCAGGTTCCACCGGAGCCATCGGTGGCACCAAGAAGGATGGAAACCACCAGCATGGTGCCCAAACCATCACCAGGACATGGCACAAACAGTGCAAAGATGGAGGGGGGCACTGGCAAAGTCACCAAGGGAATTTTGGGGAGGAAAGTGCCAATATCTCCTGTATCCTCCCACCCCGCCTCCCCTTGAGGAGGTCTTATTAAATTAATCATAAATTATTTGCCGAGCCACCGTGCTCGGAGGCTGAGGAACCTGCCTGGAATGAAGAGGAAAGAAATGGTCCGCATGCCAAAAAAAATAATCCCTGTTTCTGTCCCGATTCGATGTTATAAATCGTGAGGCCACATCCAAGCACCCCGGCATGAATCCCACCAGCTCAGCCAGCGTGGGAAAACAGGAAGTTGGAGTTATGATGAGAAAAGGGATTTTTGGAGCTGCTCTCCCGTCACAGCAGGTGCCCCGCGACCTCCGTCCTTCCTGTCCATCCATCCATCCATCCATTCATCCATCCGTCCTTCTCCCTGTCCCAACAACGTGCCAGGTTCCACCGGAGCCATCGGTGGCACCAAGAAGGATGGAAACCACCAGCATGGTGCCCAAACCATCACCAGGACATGGCACAAACAGTGCAAAGATGGAGGGGGGCACTGGCAAAGTCACCAAGGGAATTTTGGGGAGGAAAGTGCCAATATCTCCTGTATCCTCCCACCCCGCCTCCCCTTGAGGAGGTCTTATTAAATTAATCATAAATTATTTGCCGAGCCACCGTGCTCGGAGGCTGAGGAACCTGCCTGGAATGAAGAGGAAAGAAATGGTCCGCATGCCAAAAAAAATAATCCCTGTTTCTGTCCCGATTCGATGTTATAAATCGTGAGGGAGATGAGGGAGTGGCTTCCCCCTCTCCCAGGGCTGGGATGGCTGGGGGAGGGAGCAGAGGGGATATAAAGCAGATGGGAAAAAAAAATAATAACTTATATATATATATATATAAAAAAACTGTTTTTCTATATTCTCAGCTAACTATGAAAAATGGAAGCTGACACAGAGCAGAGGGAAAAAAAGAAAAAAAAAGAAGAAAATCCATTAAAATGGAAATGATGAAGGGCTGGGAACGCTGTGGCTGTGTGGGGTGATGGGGCTGCCTCAGGGCTCTTCCTGCCCCACAGATTTTGGGCTGGCAAAGGGAAATTCCCCCCAGGATAGTGGTTCTCTGGTGGCACGGGGCCCTGTGGGCCAAACCACAGGGTGGGAGCGCCCATGGGCGCAGGATTTGGCCAACTCTTGCCAAGGGGCCACCAGAGGTTGTGCCGGGAGGACGTGGGTGGGTGCAAAAAGCATGGAGGCCACCTGAGAGAGAAGGGTGTTGGAAGAGCAAGCAGGAAGACGCAGAGAGCCCCAAAACCGGGAACCCCCGACTCCCACAGGACGACACGGTCCCCGGCATCGCCACCGAGGCGGGGAAAGCAGCAGTGTCTCGGGTGCCCCTAAAAAGACACAAACCCCCTGGTCCCCGCACCCCGGGGGGGGAAGGA